ACAAAAATTGCCAATAAAGATTCGGCTATTTGCTGCTCTTCGTACAATCTGTAATTGTTATTTAATAGAAGAAAAAAACTACGGTACTGTTTGCCAACAAAACTAGTTATATAGAACAGTTGGTCGTCAGCAGTACTGCAACAGTCGATAGTTGAATTTTGAGATAGAACTAAACACAGACTAAAGGTTTAACAAATGGCACTGAAGCAATTGGTGGGACAACGTAAATTTAGTATTATGGTTTTGAATGAAACTGTTGCACGATACACAGATGTCATTAGTATGAATCGCTAGTGAAAGCGGGAAAATTTTCAAAAATATATACTTTTTTAATTTATTTTTCTTCTTTTTTACCACTACATCATTGGTTTTAAACATTATACACTTCTTATCTTTAGGTTTTTTTTTGTGCACATATAAATATGTATCCGTATTACGTACTTACTTTTTAAAACCTGTTTTTATATTAACGCACCATTGTCTCAACCGTTATGTCGCGGTTGTTTAATCATTCGGAATTGATAACTGTTAGTCCGGAACAAATTGTTATCTGGCAGTTTTTATAGTTTTTGCATGTATTAAGCCATTGTCATTTTGTAAATTTATCCACTTTTCAAGCTTTTGCAGTACCTTTTTTTTCTTTTTTTTTTTTTGATCAGCAGTATATAATTGGAAAGAAGTGTTGAGAAATATGACTAGATAAAGGTTAAACGATATTCTGTATGTTTATGATGACCTCTTATGTAGACATTAATAGTTTTTTTGTTTAATTCTATTTTTTTTTTATTTTGCAAGGAAGATAATGGGAAGACTGAAGTATTCCGTTCTTTAAACGGTATCACACTGCTGATTGTTGGCGACTTTCCAGTACCTAGAACATAGTGTATAGCAGATTTCAGGCTTGTCGTCGTATATGGCAAAAAGAAAATTGGCGGTATAGAAATTACGGATAAGATTTATATCGTCGATTGCATAGCAGTATCTTTTTCTTTCAGACGACATTAAGATTTCGGAAACTGGGCTAAAGCCGAAGTGAAGGCTGAAGAAAGGAAACAAATTAACAGTGAGAATAAAGTCACAAGTACCCTTCTGTTTTTGGCTGGTTTTTAAAAGTAATCATTTTCTTAGGAAAAAAATTTAAAAGTGTATCAAAGAAGATTTCAAATTAAGGATCTTGTTTCATGAGTTTATTATACACCAGCGGTTACCAGTTTATGCGCACAAAAAGTTGAGCAGACAGAAAGATTCAATAAATTTTTATCTCGCCTAATAAATGGCATATCAGCGGCGTAACCATTCAAAGTTATCAACCAATTCCGACTGTCACAGTTGAAAGCTTTTTGATATGGTTCTGCTTTCTGTTCAAATTGGTGTTTGCGTGTTTCAAAAAATGAACATGCACCAGTTTTATTGAACTTTTGAATCTATATGCTTTTGTTATGCTAATTATTCTATCTATATCTTCATTAAATTAGAATTGTTAAATGGTTTGGTTATTTCATTAAAATTTCCAAATAAGCCGGTTATTACAGTTGTTGAGCTACAAGGATTAATACAGAACCCTTTCAGTGAGTTTACGCCACTTTATTAGTTGATGACGTTGGTATGCGACTTAATAAATCATCTGTATTAACTGAAAAATGTTAAATTTTAGGTCGTATGGAATGTATTGGGGAAAAATTAGCATTTTAGTGCAAGTATTTTTCACTCTCTTCTTCCTTGCCAGTCCTTATAGACTGAATGTGCCCCGCGTACTGTTACCATACCATCCAAACATCCAAGTTAGCTTTGAACTGATCGTGACAGATCCTGAAGGCGGATGTTTTAGATGGTAAACCTTTCCTTGTATTATTCTTTTACTTCATTATCTGTGATTTTTTTTCAACATGCTTGCCCAATGTAAAGATTTTATTTTACTTTATAGAATTTAAGAAATCGGGGCTGTTTTTTTGGCAGAGTAGTTCTTGTTATGTTGTTTGAGTCCAGCTTTTTTTTTGCTGTTGAATACTGCTCGTAGAGCGTATTTAAAGCTCTTGCAAATGTTTTAATTTTGGATCGTAGGAAGTCTACTCGAAGTGATGTTGTAGCGGTTAAAATAAGTGGTGGCGACAGCGGCTGTTCGGATAGAGCTGTAATCTATGCGACATCAAAGCATGAAAGTGAACAAACTGCTATGGTTTTTGCAGAAGAAAAAGGTACTCACTATTTTTTTCAGTATTTACAGCATTGATTCAATTAACTGCTTTTTTTTTTAAGACTCAGGTGTGGTTCTCAGCTGTGGGGTTGCTGTAGATATTATTAGGAACATTGTGATATCTACTACTACAAAGGTACTTTTTCTGGATGCAGGGCCGTCACATATGGTCATTCATGCATTGAACTCTGAAGGTATGTTCATTATTTTTGAAGTTAGTTTAGACAAGCTGGTCCAGTTCTTTACTCTTTTTGAAACATTGTCCTTTGAACTTCGTCATCTTGAAGTGTAATTAGTTTTTTTCCTTATCCAACTACAACTTTTTAATGATATTTTCGCAGGAGACATGTTTTCCAATTTGGGTGGTATCCCTTTTGAGTGGGAACTTCAGTCTACTTCGTCGAAAAGACCTCTACGTGTCGTTCCGTTTGCGCAGTCGAAATACGAGGCACCAGATGGAGTCCGGCATTTAGAAGAGAAAAAGAAAAGAGGTCAGTTAAAAAATTTTATACAGTTTTTTTTTGGAAATTGCTTATTATTCATTGCAAAATAGGCCTAGTTTTTGTAGGTTCCGTTATATGAAACAATTTAATATGCATTATTTTCCAGGTTATGTCGTTCTGGTAGAAGGTGTACAGACAGGCACTGCCACTCTAGTTGCTAAGCTCAGTGAATCATTTTTTGAGGTGGTTGGGATGATTCTGTGTTGCTTTCAATTGGTTAACAGAGATGAGCGCTTATGAATTTAATTTTTCTCTATCACATTAATCGTTGGTGTAAAATGATCAGATTTATAGATTTTCTTCGTCCAAAATTCGAGTGCAATTTCAGACCGTCCCATCGCAAGAAATTGTTCTTTTGGTTGTTGCAAATCTTTTGTTAGTACCATCATGCGACCTTTATCTTCCTATTGGGTCTGTTGTACGTTATTCTGCTCAGATTGTCAAGCAGGGAAGCACAGAACGTTAGTTTCTTTAGATATTTTGCGTTGATTTCCTGTTGTTGAATTGTTTCATCAGAACATATGCTGTAGCTTACTTTGTTTTATATTGCATTTTCTTGCTATCTTCCAGTTACTTGAGTTTTCTATATAGGATAAAAAAACAACCTGCATTAATTTAGAATTCCTTTCAGCTGTCTCTTTGCCCTCAAAACAATATCAGTTGGAAGTAGCAGATAGCAGTATTTGTTCATTGAATGAAGGTTCAGCTAGCATTACTGCCATTTCTCTGGGTGCTACAGAAGTATCATTGGTTGACAAGAGTAAGTTTTTTAAGAAATTGAGGAAGAAAAAATGTTTTTTGGCTACTTGGGTATTTTAAGGCTTTTTCGGTACATTTAATAGAATAAATTGTAGATGTAAAGGCAAACGTTGCTTTAAAACCACCATCAGTTCATATTTATGTTGTTGAACCCTTAACAATTCTGTTTGCGATTAGCGGTGAAGTATGGTTCCTAGAAGTCGGTAGACGTTATACGATAACCGTTCAAGCCTATGATCTGAAAGATAATTCTCTGTTTATTGCTGACGTTAGTTATTTTTGTCGCATTTCATATTTGGTTTTTGTGTTGAGTGAGAAATTCAAGTTTTCTTATGATATTTTTTTTTTACATTTCTTATTTCTTATTTTTTCTTTCTTTTCTTATTTTCTTATATGCCCTGCCAATACTCTCTTTTCCTCAACCGCAATGGCTATTTTTAGAATGCAGTTTTCAATACCAAAATCCCGAAAGAATTTTTTGAAGTGATTACGTCTTCGGAGAACGATACATACTTTGAAGTTGAAGCAGTCAAGTTTGGTGTGGCGAGACTGCGATCGGAATTTGTCTCCGTTAAAAATCCGGTTTTTTTTT